TTTTTGCCAATGTCTTTAAGATCATGGAGAAAGGGGGAAAAGCATAAAAATAGAAACTAGACCATTGAATGGTGAACGCGTCGATATATAGGGCTTTACTGTCAGGTTTCCATGATACGAAATTCTCACATTTGGCGTTATGTCTGGAAGCAAATAAATCAATTTTTGGTTCACCAAAAATGTTAATGATCTGGTTGTAATATATATCGTTTAGTTCCCATTCAGTGTCTATGTTTTTGATTCTAGATAATTTATCAGCAACTATGTTATCTTTAGATGGAATGTACGAGGCAATTAAAGTTAATTTTTTGTTTTCAGCCCACTGCCAAATCTCACGAGCTAATCTGTTGTATCGTTGAAATTTTGTGCCACCCATTTTATTCAAATAAGATATGGCAGTAGTGTTGTCAACCCGGAGTAAAATTTGACAGTTATTCAGATCTGAAGCTAATTCTCTCAATGCAATTTTTATTGTCAATAATTCTAGGAAATTGATATGCATCTTTTGTTCTCTCACTGACCAAAAACCGTGAATCTTTCGATCATCATTGCAAGCCCCCCAACCGGACATTGATGCATCTGTAAAAATCTGCATAGCAAAGGATCCATCGTGAATATGGTGAATGGTATCCTTAATGTTAGCTTTCCACCATTGTAATTCACGCTTTATAGGCTCTCTTAAAGGCATTATTTTATCATAACAATCATCATTGAAGATGAGTTGGAAAATTTTCTCTTTTTCTAGGGTCTTGGTGTATAACCAGCCGTATTCTACGGCCGGACAACATGCTATTAATTTCCCAATTAACTGAGCATACTCTCTAATATAACACTTATCCAATTTCAAAAAGGTCTCTAATAATTGATAAATACTTTTTCGTTTTTCATCAGTTAGTTCAATTGCGTACTTTTCTGTATTAATTATAAACCCCAAGAACTTGCATCTTGGGGAGGGTATGAGGTTGGATTTTTTATGATTGACTAGGAAACCCAACCACTTCAGGAGGTACAGGGTTTCCTCGACATTTTTCTGGCACTCTTCAGATGTTTTCTCTATACATAAAATATCGTCTAAGTAGATAACTGATGAAAAACCCCTGCTTCTTAAGTTTTTAACAACTACTTTCATGATTTTTGTGAACACAAGGGGGGCAGTGTTTAAACCAAAAGGTAAGACCATAAATTCATATAAGACATTTTGAAATTTGAAGCGGAGATATTTCCTACTATCTTCGTGTATCGAAATTAAGTAATAAGCGTCTTTTAGATCGATTGTTGCTAAATGATATTTTGGGAAAATTAACTGAATTGCGGTTCTTAAGTCTTCAAGTTTGAAATGTTGCGTTGTGATAGATTTGTTAAGTTGTTTCAAGTTTAATATGAATCTATTTGAACCATCCGGTTTTTTAACTAAGAAATAGGGAGACAAAAATTGGTCTTTTGTTTCCGTACAGACTCTAATAACTTTTTTAACTAGTAGTTCATTGACACAAAACCTTGTGGCCTCTACATCTACCCCCGAATAATCATAACTATTGGGCAGTGTTTTCAACAATTTTCTATTAAGGGGGACCTTATACCCTGAGATGCAAGATAACACGAACTTATCATTAGTAATCTCTTGCCAGTTTTTATAGAAAAACAATAGTCTACCCCCTCTTACATCAGTTAGTTCTTCTTCTCGCCCTTGTTCACGGCCTTGGGCGGCTGATGGATTGAGGTCTTGTGATTTACAAATTGCTGGTTGCCTCTTGAAAACACCTTTTGTCTCAGACGTCCGGCGAAAAACATAGATCCCGTTTGTCCCCCGGTCGGACGTCTCGCAAACGGGATCTTGAAGTTTGACTGTTGATAAGGGACAGTTGGTTTCTTTCGCACCTGAGGAGGCTTAAGAGTCTCGCTCATCTTGTTCAATGCCTTGGCGTCTTTGATTTTTTCAGATAAATCCTTTCCATATAAAAACTCTCCTGGTTTAGTCTCTTTAAGAATGGCCTTCGTTTCCTTGGATAATCCAGGTTCAATAAATGCTTTCCTTGAGGTTGTCTGTTTGTGTACAATAGAAGCAACCAGTTTAGCAGAGTCACGTATGCGTGTCAAAAGTTTCTCGAGATCAAAATCTTCTTTGTCCTCGTAGATTGCTGAGACTACGGAACCAAGAATTGACAGGGCTGTACCTGCCAGTTTTTGAGTTTCAATCATGTGATTGTCTCGAGCAACAGCAAAGTCTTTCACTGTGGCCGCGATTTGCGGATTTAACTTGGGGGCTTCTAGTTCAGCTACGCATTCATAGGTCCCCAAAAGTGTTTGGATTTCCTCCTTCTTCATACCTTCTTTACAGAAAAATTCCCATCTCCTCAAGAGATCGGGATTGATCTGTAGTTTTAATTGCTTGCGTGGAGGTTGGATCATCACCCAAATAAGAGAAGAGAAAAGGAGAGAAAGATATCTATAAATATCTATATACAATTGGCTGTATTCTGGGAATTGGAGAGTTAAAAACAAAAAATTTGTTTAGTATTCAACCAAGAGAAAGAATAAATTGTTTATCTGTGGTCTGCCATATAGCAGGAACCGATAATTTATTGCGTCCCTATCCTGTTACATAAACAAGCATAGACGTGTCGCGGCAGGTCTTAGTCTCATCACAAGTCTGAGTTCTGACCACCCTGTCGGTATTTTCTCTATTTCTTTTTCTAGAGTTATATTTTTCATCTCTGTCTTGTCATTTAACAAGCACTGATAATTGTTAGCATCTTTCTCTTGCCACACGGTCAAGCATATATTTTCTTTTTCTAAAGTTATATTTTCCATTTCTGTCTTGTCATTAAACAAGCACTGATAATTGTTAGCATCTTTCTCTTGCCACACGGTCAAGCATATATTTTCTTTTTCTAAAGTTATATTTTCCATTTCTGTCTTGTCATTTAACAAGCACTGATAATTGTTAGCATCTTTCTCTTGCCACACGGTCAAGCATATATTTTCTTTTTCTAAAGTTATATTTTCCATTTCTGTCTTGTCATTAAACAAGCACTGTTAATTGTTAGCATCTTTCTCTTGCCACACGGTCAAGCGTAGATGTCGAAAGGTCTCAAAACACTTCTCTCCAGGGAATAATTCGTTTCTGATTTTTTTTTTTTTTTTTTTTTACTTACAAATTTTCGTTGTTGCTGGTGTTATCGGTCTTCTCAATACCATCAACAGCATCTTGGACGTGATCTGATGTAACGTCGGAGATGTCTGTATCCTCGAGAATTTGCTGGTCGTTCGAAGTCATGTTCTCTTTTTCGGCTACGTTCTCCTTGTCCTCGGACATCGCTTGGGTTGTGTCAGAAATCACCAGTCTCTCTTCTAACTTTTGCACTTTATTCAACAGTTGATCCAAAATTTCATCTCTTTCACGAGATCTTTTCTTGGACTTCTTGCCCATTCTTTCACCACAAAAAAAAAATTTTTAAAAGGTCGTAGGAGAAGAAACAAAAAATACTCGCTGGAAAAAACACGTGTGTCACTAAGCGCGCGCGAAGAAAAAGTGAAGTATCGGCGCGGTAAGTGGTAGAGGTGGGGGAGGCCCCACTGCCCCCTTTTTT